TCTAAGAAGGCAGCATTTAATTCCATGAAAAATAAAGTACAATTAAAGCTCAGAGAGATGCAGGATTCTTGGCTCAGTAAGAAGGCAGATGAAATTCAGTTTTATGCTGATAGTAACAATTCAAAGCACTTTTATGATGTCATGAAGTCTATTTATAGGCCAAAGACCTATGGTGCATCACAACTATTCAGTGCAGATAGAGCCACACTGATTAGTGATAAGGACATGATCCTAGAGAGATGGACTGAACAATTCCACAATGTTCTTAACAGACATCATCAATCAATGCTGAAGCCATTGACTGTTTACCTCGAGTTGAAGTCAATCCCTCCCTAGCTGAAGTTCCAACTGAAGAAGGGGTTTTGAATGCCATTAGGCTCCTTTCATGTGGCAAAGCACCTGGTGCTGATTCTACTCCAGCTGAGAATCACAAGGTAGTGGGTCCATTGCTCATACAAAAGCTGACTGAAATTTTCCAGGTTATATGGCATTATCCCCAAGAAGTTCAAGGATGCCTCCACTGTCCATCTCTATAAAGTTAAATGAAATAGATTGTCCTGTGACAATCACAAGGGATTCTCTCTCTTAGTCATTACTGGCAGGATTCTTACCAGGGTCCTACTTAATAGGCTGATCCTTCACCTGGAAGATTATCATCTACCTGAGAGCCAGTGTGGCTTCAGAAAGGGCCAAAGAATAGTTGATATGGTGTTTGCTGCCCAACAACTCCAGGAGAAATGCCAGGAGCAGAACAGAGGTCTGTATACAATGTTTGTAGATTTGACCAAGGTCTTTGATACTGTCAGTTATTATGTCAAAATCTGGCTGCCTGGAAAAGTTCATCAGCATTGTACATCAATTTCATGATGGCATGCTTGCCTGGGTTTTGGATAATGGACAACACTCTCGTGCTTTCCCAGTCAACAATGGAATGAAACAAGGCTGTGTGCTTGCTCTCATACTTTTTATCATGATGTTTTTAGCTATGTTGTCAAATGCTTTCAATGAGGATGAACATTGCATCAAGGTCAGATAGCACACTGATGGTAAATTCTTCAACTTCAAAAGACTACAAGCCAAAGTGGAAGTAGTATTGGGGCATAATTTTCTGTTTGCAGATGATTGCGCACTCAATTCAGCCTCTGAAGCTGAGATGCAACAAAGTATGGATCGATTCTCTGCTGCTTCTGCTAATTTTGGTGTAACAATTAACACCAAGAAAATCAGATGCTCCATCAGCCACCACTACACCATCCACACATGGAACCACTGGTTACAGCAAATGAAGAAGTTCTGAATGTTGTGGAAAAGTTCACTACCTTGGTAGTATACTTTCCAGGGATGTACACATTAATAATGAGGTTGACGCATGCATTGCCAGAACTAGTTCAGTGTTTGGGAGGCTCCAAAGAAAAGTATGGAGACTTATGACTGACTACCAAACTGAAGGTCTACAGAGCCGTAGTGCTGACCTCATTGTTTTATCCCTGTGAAACCTGGACCATGTATACCAAAGCCATGCCAGGAAACTGAATCTCTTCCATTTGAATTGTCTTAGGAAGATTCTGAAGAGCACCTGACAGGATAATATACCAGATACTGAGATCCTTTCTTGAACTAAACTGCCAAGCAATCAAACTCTGCTTCAGAGAGCACAACTCAGATGGGCTAACTACACTGTTTGAATATAAAACGTACACTTGCCAAAAAAACTATTATATGAAGAATTCACATAGGGCAAGCATTGACATGGTGGTCATAAGAAGCAACAAGAGGGCACTCTCAAGGTCTCTCTTAAGAATTCTGGAATTGGGGGCAGCTAGGTGGTGCAGTGGATAGAGCACCGGCCCTGAAGTCAGGAGGACCTGAGTTCAAATCGGGCCTCAGACCAAAGACTTGACACTTACTAGCTGTGTGATCCTGGGCAAGTCACTTAACCCCAACTGCCTAACCAAAAAAAAAAAAACAATTTTGGAATTGATTGTGTGACATGGCAGACACTGGCACAGGACTGCTCAGCATGGTGTACCCACATCAGAAGAGGTGCTACACTCTAGGAGCAAAGCAGAATTGAAATAGCTCAAGAGAAACACAAGATACACAAACTTAGAGAATCTACTCCAAAGGTTCACATGGACTATTTGTGCCCAATCTGTGGTAGAATACTTCGAGCTCATATTGGTCTGATCAGCCACAGTCAGATACACTAATATTGGACTCTAGCATAGAGATATCATTTTGGTCCTCTTCGAAAATGAAGGACAACAACAACAACAACACTCCCTCTGATACTACCTCAAAATAGAGGTAAAGAAGGAAGGGGAGGGAACCTCATAACAAGCAAACATAATCAAACAAATTCAAATTGTTGCTGTATACAAAAATGTATGTCTCTGTGCCTTATATCCAGCACCTGTCTGTCAAGAGGTGGGTTTCATCAGAGGTCCTCTGAAGACACAGTCATTGCACTGGTCAGACTTAAGTCTTTCAAAGTTATTTTCCTTAAAATGTTGTTGAACTTTGTGCATAAATTATTCTCCTGGATCTGACCACTTCATTTTACATTCATAGTACCCAAGATTTTCTGAAGTCATCTTTTTTGTCTTTGTTTCATATGGCACAACGATATTCTACCACATTTACACAGCACAATTTGTTCAGCCATTCCCCAATTATCTAAAAAGGAATCTAAAGTACTCCCTTTATAATCTAGTTCTTATATTGTCTTTCCTCTTGCCTTTTAATTCCCTCATAAAGATTAGAAAATTTGACTTACTTGTGATAACTATTCTTCTCCCGGTATTTTCCTCCCTCTTAACAATCCTACACCAAACCTCAATGTTTCTCAGTTGAGTTTAATGTACTTCCATACCAAACTCTGTGTATATGTGTGTGTATATGTGTCTATGTGTTCAAACTTTGGTTTGTCCATTTCAAATAGAAGTTAGGTTCGTCTGATGCCCACTTCATCCATATTTGCATATTTTCACATACAACAATTATGAGAAGTATCAAATTCCACCACCTTCCCCCTCCTTTCCCCAATAATATATTCCTCATTTTATCCTCCCTTCTCTTTCCTCTCCTAAAACCTTCAAAAAAAAAAAGCAACACAATTTACCCCCAAAACATCTATTTTTCCTGTCTTATTCCCTCAATATCTTTTGAGGGTATTAATTTTCTGAAGGGATGCTTATTTCTTTGCACCTTTTAGAATGTTAGCACTCTATCATCACACAGCCTCTTCCAAATTCTTAAATACATTTACTTTTCTAAGTTCTCTTGACTCTGTGATTATATTTCATAATTCCTACTGGAACATCAATCTTTTCATCAGAAATGCTGGAAAGTCCTCTATTCTATTAAAGATACATTTTTCCCCTGTGAAATTATGCTCAACTTTGTAGGTAAGGTTATTAAGTTATTCTTGGTTGTAAGACTATATATTTTGCTTTCTGGAATCTTGAAAATCAAGAACTCTTCTCAGTTTGGGCTAAAGCTGTCAGGCCTTCTGTGATCCTGACTGTAGTTCCTTGATACCTGAATTGTTTCTTTTTAGATTCTTGAAGTATTTTTTTTTCTTTGATGCAGAAATTCTGGATTTTGGATATAATGCTCCTGGGACTTTTCTTTTTGAGGTTCTTTTTAGAAGATCGATGGGTTCTTTCTAACTTAACTTTGTCCTTTATATAATAGATCTGGGGAGTTTTCCATTTATGACTGCTTGGAATATAATATCCAAGCTCTTTTTTTTTTAATCATGGTTTTCAGGAAGTCCAATGGTTCTCAAATTTATCTCTATGAACTATTTTCTAGGTTAGTTGTTTCTTACATCAAAAATTTTATGTTTTCTTCTACTATTTCAATCTTTTGATTTTCTAACATTTCTTACACTCTCACGGCATCAAATGATTTCCTTCGGTCTTCTGTAGTTTCAAGGATGCCATATCTTGTTTAAGGTTTAGCACCTTCTCTTCTAAGCTTCTTAAGATTTTTTTTCCAGAAAAGCTTTTATTGGTGTCTTTAAAATTTACTTCCTTTGTTTTTTCCTAGTATTTATATAGTCCTACAAAATCAACTTTTTTCCTTTAAGTCTCTACTTGCAATTGTTATGAAGACAGTTTTTCAAAACAAATTTTATACTAGTTGATATTTTCTTTGATTTATTCATCTCTCTAATATGCATTCCTGAAGTGGGGCTTGATGTCAGGCCAGACTCTACTTCCTGCTTCACTTTTAAGTGGGGTGGTTGGCTCTGCTTGTTTTCAACCTGAATCTCTGAGGTTCTCACCTCCTGGGACTAGATCCTCCTAGATCTTTGAAATTAAAAGCATTAGGTATTCAGAGTACTCTCTGATATTTCAGGACATTGTCAGGCATTTCAAATCTGCTGGGCCTGGACTCTCCAAGAATGAGCACTAAGGTACCACACTAGTCACAAGGGCTCCTCTGGGTTCCCAGATCCCCACCCTGGAGTGAGGAAGGAGGAAAAGGGGGAGAAGACTCTGTTCTTGCTACCTTTGGTATAGGCTTGCAGGCTACATATGTTCTGTCTCTGATTAAGCTAGCCCTCCTTCTACTTCAGGAGTTTGCTTTCTGCTACCTGTAGTCCTCTGGAGGACATTTTCTAGGATGAAAGAGGTCACTTAGTACAGCTTCACGTGGAATTTCTTGATTATTACTTGGTGATGTATGAACTTCACCATTTTTGTGCAATAGGTATAGGGGAACAAGAAAGACCCCTCTTTCAGACAGCCATCTTCTCTGAAATTGATTTAAAACATTCTGAAAATAAAACTATACTATATGATCTAATTATTAACATTATAGCAGCAAAAGGTTATGTTTATTCACATGTCACAGAAAAAAATGGATGTGGGTATGGATAGCAAAGGGTATGGTGGATAGCAAATTGCATAACAAGCAAATTTCTCTATTTAAAGCCAATTCTTTTTCTCAACATCAAATAATCATTATATAAGTATGCCAAAGATACTCACATGCAGAGCAGAGGGATCTGGCAAAAACTCAGCATCTTCTCCAAAGATAAAATCAGGAGGCAATTCTGGGTAGTGAGCATTGAAAATAATATCCCCTAAGATAGAAGAAAATTAAATGCATTTATAATTCTATGTTAAAATCAAAATATCCATAGTGCTATACAAAAAACAATATTTTTTTTTTGGTTTCAATGCAATTCAAGGGAAAACAACTGAAGTAATAATTATTAATTCTTTTCCTAAAAGGACCATGTAATTCATTATGTAGGCATCCTAAAATATGTGAACACTAAAAACTATACGTAAACAAAAGGTTTTACTAATATGTAAAAAAATTATAAATTGATTTATAATGTAATACATTGTAAACAGAAATATCATGGCATACTGGATAGAGAGTCAGCCTAGAATTTGGAAGACCTAACCTCTGCCTTGCCTCTGATACATGCTGGCTATGCAACTCTGAGCAAGTCACTTCTCAGTATTCTTTCTAAAACTCTAAACTTCAGGCAAGTTAAAATGTGAATGGTAAAGGGAGTTTCTTCACTGAGAGCTCCCTTGGTCAATGAAATCACAAATCCAGTCCAAAACAAAACATTATGAGTACAATCAAATGTAGGTATATACATGCAATCACACTGGAGTATTTGCTGATTATTCTACATAGAAGAGCCTCCTGTGCAATTATGGTTAACAACTACATGACCAAAAATTTTAAGTTCTTAGTATGTCAAAGACAGAAAATGATAACACAAATTTAAGACCAGAACATGTTCCTTGCTTTTGGATAACATGTAATCTGATGGGAGAAATGTACAAAAAAAACTAATATGCAAGATTAAATTTAAGCACAACAAAAAATGATAGAGTTTGGCAGGTCCTGGGAAATCAAACCATCTCTTGGGACCACAGAGGCCCCAAGTTTTCCCATAAAAGAAACTCAATCAGAAGGCAACGAAAGTGAGTATACTGTGAATGTGCATTCAAAAGACATGAAGTTATCTGAGAAGAAATGGAAGATGGCAAGATTTTCTTGTGAGGGCATGCAGCCCAGCCTTTCCCCATGGTTTTTATCTTCTTAATAGGCTTCCTGCAAATATTTGACACTGGAAATGGAAAGAAAGGGTGCCAGCTACAAGGGCATTTTTGGCTTTCAGACTGAAAATCTCTGGGTATCAGAGCTAACTTATTTTTGGGGGGTAAGACTGTGAGGACAGGAGACTAATGAACCTCCTAGCATTTTCTTGACTTTATCCACTGTTCCAGTCTAAGAATCAGAACTGGGTCCTGAACACAAGGACATTGATCCCTTTACATCTATAGTTCCGAAATTGTACCCTATTGTGCCCACAGACACTATATAAAACCCATGGCGGCACACTAGAATATTTTGAATTTTTAACCTAACTACTTAATAAATAGAACTGTTAAATATTTCTTTTGGTATAGAGATGCCATGAAAAATTTACTAAGACACAAAAGGCTGACCAATAACCAAGAAAATTTGGAACTTCTCCTTTAGTTCCTTTCCAACACCTATGATAGCAAGAAGAAGCATTGGGATATAGCTGAGCAACACTGCATGCGCACATAAAAGCATTAACACCATTTCCTATACTCCCTCTCTTCCACAATCCCACCCACAAGAGTAGTCCTGCTTTGAGCCCAAGCCTCACAGTAATCATCGGGGCAAGCAGCTCCTATGGAGAAGGGGCCAATCATCCCATGAATCTGTAACACAAAGGGCAGACAAGGTTGCCTAGCCAAAAAGTCATGGACCCTGAGGGAGAAACAGGAGGCAGTATATGGGCAAGTCAAACCCCCACCCTGACCACTGTCTCCCCTTAGATCTTGATGGAGACAGCACAGGACCCTAACCCTAAAAGCACTGGAATAGCAATGCTTCCCACCCAGTGCCCTCAAGCATCATCTCAGAAAGCAATCCATAGACAGGGGATTCTGGGAAGATGACAGGGTAGGTCACAAAATTTCAAGCTCTCCAGATTTCCCCCATAAATGAGATAAAATAGTGCTTCACGGCAAACATACAGCTGGTAAAAATAAATAAGAGTAGGGGCAGAACAGTGATCCTGTTGGGACAATCAGAGAAGATCTGAAGAAAAATCCCTGGGGGGCAGAGCCAAGATGGCAGAGTAAAAGCAGTGACTTGCTGAGCTCTCCCCTAGACCTCACCAAATACCTGTAAAAAATGGCTCTAAACAAATTCTAGAGCAGCTGAACCCACAAAAAGACAGACTGAAACAAATTTCCAACAAAGACAACCTAGAAGGTTGATGGGAAAGGTCTGCTGAACAGGGTTGAGAGAGGAGCACAGTTCAGTGACCAGCACAGGCAAACACTGGGCCTTAGCAAACCTTGAGGCCAGCCTTAGGGGGCTGAACCACTAGCAGCTGTAGCGGTTTCCGGACTTCTGAACCCACAACGCCAAAGACAACTTAGAAAATCAGTAGGAAAAGTTTGTCAGACCTCAGTGAGAGAGGAGCTCTGTTTGGCCCCAGTCCTTGCACAGCCCTGGGGCAGCGGCTGCTTCCAGAGCTCTCGGCCCACAAATGGTGAGGGGATCGAGCCTCTGATAAGATGGGAATTGTAAGGCTCTCTTTGCTGGTGCTGAGGCAGGATTCTCTTGCTTTGCCCATGCTTGGATCTGTGTCGCAGTTCTGGGTACTGGTCCTGAGGCTAGGAGGAGCACTGGCTTTATGGAGCTTGTGGCAGAAGTGGAGAGAGAGAATCCTCCTCACAGTTACAAGGCAGAAAAGAGTGCTTGTGGTCACTCATAGACCACAGCACAGACCAGGAAAAGAGTAAACACCTCACCTTCGATCATACCACCTTAGAAGAACTGAAAATTTACAGGTCCCTAGAAAACAGCTACACAAAATCCCCAAAGCTTGGAACAGGACATCCTCCACACTGGAAGCAGAACCCTACCTTAACAAAGAGTTTAAAAGTCAAGTAATTGGCTGGGAAAATAAACAACCAGCAGAAAAAAACGCAGACCACAGAATATTTCTTTAGTGACAAAGAAGATCAAAACACACAACCAGAAGAAGACAACAAAGACAAAGCTCCTACATCCAAAGCCTCTAAGAAAAATATGAATTGGTCCCAGGCCATGGAAAAGCTCAAAAAGGATTTTGAGAAGCAAGTAAGAGAAGTAGAGGAAAAACTGGGACGAGAAATGAGAACAATCATGAAAAATGAGTCAACAGCTTACAAAAAGAGACCCCCCAAAAAAATACTGAAGAAAATAACATCTTAAAAAATAGCATAACCCAAATGGCAAAAGAGTTCCAAAAAGCCAATGAAAAGAAGAATGCCTTAAAATGCTGAATTGGCCAAATGGAAAAGAAGTCCAAAAGCTCACTGAAGAAAATAATTCCTTAAAAATCAGAATGGAGCAAATGGAAGGTAATGATTGTATAAGAAATCAAGAAATTATAAAACAAAACTAAAAGAGTGAAAAAATAGAAAACAATGTGAAATATCTCACCGGAAAAACAACAGACCTGGAAAACAGATCCAGGAGAGAGAATTTTAAAATTATTGGACTACCTGAAAGCCATGATCAAAAAAAAAGAGCCTAGACATCATCTTTCAAGAAATTATCAAGGAAAACTGCCCTGATATTCTAAAACCAGAGGGTAAAATAGAAATGGAAAGAATCCACCAATCACCTCCTGAAAGAGATCCCCAAAGGAAAACTCATAGGAATATTAAAACCAAATTCCAGAATTCCCAGGTCAAGGAGAAAATATTAAAAGCAGGCAGAAAGAAACAATTCAATATTGTGGAAATGCAATCAGAATAACACAAGATTTAGCAGCTTCTACACTGAGGAACAGGAGGGCTTGGAATATAATATTCCAGAGGGCAAAGGAGATAGGATTACAACCAAGAATCACCTACCCAGCAAAACTGTGTATAATCCTTCAAGGGGAAAAATGGTCACTCAGTGAAATAGAGGACTTTTGAGCATCCTTGATGAAAAGACCAGAGCTGAATAGAAAATCTGACTTTCAAATACAAGACTCAAGCAAAGCATAAAAAGGTAAACAGGAAAGAGAACTAAATCATAAGGAACTTATTAAACTGAACTGTTTATATTCCTACATGGAAAGATGATATTTGTAAACTCATGAGACCTTTCTTAGTATTAGGGTAATTGCAGGGGCGTGTGTGTGTGTGTGTGTGTGTGTGTGTGTGTGTGTGTGTGTAAATGTGTGTATGAATATATATATATGTGTGTATGTGTATGAATAAATATACATATATACATATAGAGAGAGGGCACAGGGTGAGTTGAAGATGAAGGGAAAATATCTTAAAAAATTAAATTAAGGGGTGAGAGAGGATTATACTGGGAGAAGGACAAAGGGAAAGGTAGAATGGGGTAAATTATCTCAAATAAAACAGACAAGAAAAAACTTTTACAGTTGTAGGTAAAGTGGGGGAGGGTGAGAGGGAATAAGTAAATCTTACTCCCATTGGATTTGGCTTAAAGAATAACATACACACTCATTTGGGTATGGAAATAAATCTTACCCTTCAGGAAAAAAGTGAGGGAAAGGGATAAGAGACAGTGGATGATAGAAGGGAGAGCAGAGATTGGGGGAGGGGGTAATCAGAAGCAAGCACTTCTGACTAGGAAAAGGGTCAAAAGAGAAAACAGAATAAACAGTGGGTGGAATAGGATGAACGGAAATATATAGTTAGTTTTTCACAACATGACTATAATGGAAGTGTTTTTATATGACTACACATGTCTAACCTGTATAGAGTTGCTTGCCTTCTCAATGAGGGTGGGTGGGGAGAGAGGAAGGAAGAGAATTTGGAACCCAAAGTTTAAAAAGAAATGTTAAAAATTGTTTTTACATGCAACTGGGAAAAAAGCTATACAGGCAATGGAGTATAGAAATCTATCCTGCCCTATAGGAAAACAGAAGGGAAAGTGGATAGGAGAAGGGGAGGAGGCTGATACAAGGAAGGGCAGATTGGGGGAAGGAGTATTCAGAATAAACGTCATCTTGGGGCAGAGGGAGGGGAGAGATGGGGAGAAAATCTGGAACTCAAAATC